AACCAGCTAGGCCCTAATATCATAAAATTACTGCTTCAAACGGAAATTGAATTCTCGCTACTGACGCTACTTATATATATGTATTTAATAATTTAACAATGCAATTAAATAAAACAACAAAATTCAGGAAATGCTCATATTTTCTAGTAACTTGCATATTATTTTGTAGACCGTAGGGATAGTGCATACAGGTTCAAATCGTTATGCACACTTGTACATTCATAGTTAGGGTTGCCAGATTTTAAAAACACCAAACCGGGACATCATATTGAATAACCTTTTTTTTCGTATACTTTGTTTATTATCATGTTYAATTATAATTGTTGAGCCATCATAGTTTAATACTAAAAGCTAATAAAATAGTAAAAATACTTTTTTTGTATAACTATACGGGAATTAATAATATCCCATATTTTAATTGAAAAATGTATTAACCAATACAATTTTTTACATAAACTACATTTACTGCATTTATTAATTGTTATTAATAACCCAATGTTCATACTTTTCGGTTGAATGAATTGTTTTCAATACAGCTGTATTAATTTTAATTTTTAAATAAAATTCATTATACAAATTAAACCCAAATTCTATGTATAATACTATTTTATGTTTTATTATTAAACAAAATAATATTAAAGTTATTTTCTCTTGTCTTCCATAAACCGGGACAAAATGAATGACCAGCTGGGATACCGGGACATGCTGTTAAAACCGGGACAAATTGCAAGCCTATACATAGTGCATGACGTGTGTCGTAACGCATATAAAAATAGGGCCAGTGACCAGTGTAAAACCAACATAAGTACAATTGTAAATACCTTAACGTAAAATTATCATGCGCTATGGTAGCCGAATAGGCGTATTTGTACCTATATTTAATGTTTGTAGTTTTATGGAAATAGCCACCCTTATTACGATAATACGATAAAATAAAATAAAATTAGATAGATATGCAAAACAAATTTTATTTACATTCACAAATCATAATAGCAATTATTGGAGTTGAAAAAAAAATAATGAATAGCAAAATGTTATACATTCTAAATTTCTTATTCACTTACCTATTAGACATTTAGTCCAGCAATTTCCAACCCATGGACCACTTGTAAGCCCGTGAGTAATGTGGTGTTGGGCAATGGCCCATGGACGATAGCCGATGCCAAGAATTAGAACATTTTAACTGGGACAGTTTCAATATTTAGATTTTTATGATTTTATTATAGGTACATGTCTATATTTCTTCTATTGTTTTATTTGTGTGTGTTTATATTTTATATCTGTATCAAAGACGCTACTGGAGGGGGGGAAGGATCCAGAGGTCCGGACCTCCCCCTGAAGTTTTTAAAAGTAGAAACGTTTTAGAATTGGMCTTGACATGTATAGCTGTTTATTAGGTAAATAGGCCTCAATGTTTTTTTTTATAAATTATTTGTGGTTCGCACTACTACCTAAAAAGGTTGGGAACCACTGATTTAGACGATCAATTTACATCGACATTTGGCTCTTGCAAATGTGTCAATTAAATCTTCGAAATTTAATTCATTCAATATTTCATTCTCCATCGAGAACAATGCTAAATTATTCAACTTGTCATCAATCTGGATTCTGGGTAGACTTTAAGTCCATCAATAGTTTTTTACGGGTTTGAGGCATGAAAACGATTTATTTGTAGTATAATTGGAGTCTGGTACATGAATGAAAATTCTTAATGCTGTGTCAACATTTGGAAATATTTCAATATATTATTAAATTATTCTATTATTGGCATGAATATTCTCGGTAAATGGACGTCAAGGCGATAAGAAACGTTAGAAATAATAAATTCTAATTTAATTTAAAAATATAATGTTTATTATATTATATTCTTTTCAAATTTTTGATAGGTAATTTAAAATAATCTTGCTGGCTGTTTTGGCTATAATTAGAGTATTTTACAATATCAGAAAACGAACATAATAAGTCTCACTGTGTCAATATGCAATACTGTCAATGTCGAAAAAAAAAATACCTTGGAAAATTGTCAGCTGTGTGTACGTGCCTATTGTGCCTGCTGATGCATATAATTAGTAGTAAATACTACACTTGGTAGCCGATAAGTACGATGTAGAGATGATATATCTACATAATATTATTCTATTCTCTACATCGTACCGGTGGTAGGTAACAATAAAATATTATCATTGGGAACGAACAGGGGAACAAGTGTGCGTTGCTGCCTTCACCAACAACCATCAGTGAACGATCTACCCATTTACCTATCAGACGGACCGACGACAGTTAGTGAAATAGTGATCCGTTAGCGGCGGTAGCGGCGGCGGCGTCATAATATTCTCCAACGCGCTAGCGATTACGGTTTTTTTTTTTTGTTTTGACTCTGTCGTCGCGCCATCGACGTTATCAGCGTTGTACCTCTCAAACGGTTTTCGACGTTTTTTCCGCTGATAATCGTCACAGTCCACACTTCCACAGACCGCAGTGATATTCCGAAAACRCTACGCGTCGCATTTCGCGACACTCCGAAATGTCGTAGGCGACGGTGTCGCAGTCACATTATTCTCAATCGGTTCGCCGTCTGCGTAATCTGAGGCCATAATACGTAAGGCATCGAGAACTTGCGTCTGGAGAGGATTACACCGGTTGGTGAGAACACGTCCACTTTATGCCGTTGTCTTGTTCATCGTTCAGCACAAACTTTATAGGTAACTCACTGGGGATCTATGTTTTACAGACGCATATTATTATTCGTTTCACTGAATACAGCATACCAGTGTTGCGTTCTACACGATTCGTACAAAATACCTATTGTACTACTCCCAGTCTGGGTTTCGATTGTTGTCGCTTCTAATTGTCATACCGACATGGATTGACATAATATCAGGCTTTTAAATTTTAGAGGGTTGGATGGAGTCTGAAATTGTTTTATGGCAAAGTCATAAAACACCATCACAAGTTTGGCACCACACTTTTACTTAATATATAGGAATTGCACATCAAAATAAAAATACACGAGACCAACATTTTAACATAGTTAAATCTGTTTGGTGAACTAATGTATTAGGTATCTATATAAATTATAGATAGGTTAATATGTTATTTATACTACATAAAAACATTGTTACACATGCCTAAATTGTATCAAAGATATTTAATATTAAAAATTTTATAATATGTTCTTCTTTATTATAGCTTTAAACATAATTTAAGACAACAAATCATAAATATGCATATGATCTAAATATATTTTATTAAGAATTAGCTGTTAAGTGTGTAATGACTCCAGATAATGTATACTGTATAGGTAGATCATTTATAGATGTTTGCATTAGAAATATAATTTATTGTTTCAAAATTGAGATTTTATATCGAATCACGCTAATGTTTTTTGTTAGTTTATATTAAAGATAAAAGTTATTTTTAAAATTGTTTATACCTACATTAAGTCAAATAATCTGAGTGGCGTTAATCTATGATTCCAAGCTTTCATGTTACACCTATTTTGACATCGAAATTCAACTTTATTGTTCCATCTTATACTGAGACACCAGTTATAGAGTGTAGACTACATATAGTATACTATAAACTTTCCTTTCATGGACAAACTGACTATGAAAAAGAATGATAAATTTGCATTAACTTAGACCTAGGTACCAATTAAATCGAGGATTTAACTTTATCATAGCATCATGAAATTAATTTTTAACAACCTCATCAATAATAAAAATGTTAAAAACATACAATAGCAACAAGTTCTAATCATTAATGATTTATCATTTAAGAGGAAATACTCTTGAGTTGATTGTCATTGTCTTACAAATTCATAGAATATAAATTTGTCTAATGAAAATTATTTGTATTTTTCTGTAGATTTTTTTTTGGATAGTTAAAGTTTTTAGCAAGTTTTGTGTATATAATATAGTATAAATTAAAAACGCTTACAACCTCGCAAAGTAAGTATCATAATAGAAACCTCATACAAACACAGATTGGTAATGTTCTAACTATTAATTTTCATTATATTTTGATGTACTCCAATTGTTAAGTTAATGACGCTTAATGTGATCTGTTGATCAGAGATGAGTAAATTTGGTGTATTACACAACTTGTAAACATAGRCAATAAACGGGAAAATAAATGTATTTGAAGCATTCTCCTTATAGTATTAGTCATTGAGTTGCTACATGCAGAATGTAACTTAGTTTAGTTTACTTTAATGCTATTAGGTCTTAGACATCACTTATCAGGTTATGTTGGACAGCATATATTAACATAAACCTGGGACCCAAATATATTATTTAGTGTTTATGTTATATGTTATCTTCTTAAAATTTGTAATGACACTTCATACTATTTTATTATATACTATATACCTTACCAGAAATTATAAAATTAATATAAATCAGTCAACTCATACTTTTAAGAAACACGAAACAAAAATACTGAATTCATAATGTGAATGTGAAATATGTAATAAACTAATAAAGTAATAATTTTTCAAAATTATATTGTTAAAGAAAAACATGATAGGGCCTGTTTCATAAACCCACTACAAGACACGTGTGTATCATTTTTTTTGTAAGTTTGTAGTGCCACCAGGACTTGAAGCCATATGTACCATAGACACATACAAATTTAAATTATGTTAATTCCGTGATATTGTGAAACAGGCCTAAGATATTATTTATAATTTCATAAACATTGAATCATTATTTTCAAGATTGTTTTACCCTAACATCTTTAGACGCAATATTATGAAATTTTATCCATTGTAAATTGACTTATAAGACAGTACTTGTAACAACTTATAACTTGTAATAACTTTCATCAAAATACTTAAATACCACCTAAACACTAGTTATATATTCCAATGGTATCAAAGTGTTTTACACATTACTTAATTAYATACTCCATACATACAAAATTAGGTAAGATTTAAAAAATTTACTTATGCACAGGTGTGTTGCAATAGGTACWGATGATTAACTTTGGGGGTAGCAAACTGGTAATGTCTTAAAAAGCTGGTTGATACTGAGTGCATTTCTTAACTCAAATAAAATATAAGTAAAATTAAGACTCATATTGTATTTTTTATGTACTGCTGAAATTAATATTGAAATATTATAATTTTAATATTACTTGCAGATTCTAACCATGGATAACACTTGTACTTATTGTCAAGATGTCATAGACAGTTTAACTGTAATTTGCTTAGAATGTTCATACTTTCAATTATGTTTGGCCGTAAGTATTTTACAAGTTCTCAGTCAATACAAATTAAAAGGATACTAAACCCACATGTGTTATTTCTGTTGTAATATATAGCAACTTTATATGAAGCATAATCGATTTAGGATTGTTACCTTCAATGTTACAATTAATTGACCGATTATCAACTTAAAAGTAAAGAATATTATCTAAGGTACAAAATTTCAGATTTCAGATTTTATGTACATATGATCTATATTGTACATTTGTAAAACTGAGAATACACAAATTGTGGGTTTGACGTCCTTTTAATTCAGATGTTGACACTTTACAGTTTTCACCATAAATTACTTTACTTTAAATATTATTTTACTAAGTTATATATTTATCATGAACATGTATAATCATATATTTTTAACTTTTATATTTTAGTGCTATAGTCACGGAGCAGAAATTGGAGATCATAAAAATAACCATGGATACAAGTTAAAAGTAATATTTTATTTTAAATAACTATTTGATGTAACTCACAAAATAAGCTAGATAATTATATACAAATAATATTTAATTTTTTTAATATCTTGAGGCATTATTGTGTAAATGACCCTAAGGTCTTTATAAAATATATGTTTAACAAGTTTKTATATTTTATATACTATATAGTAGACTTAAATACATGGTACAACAAAGCAAGCTGTGTTCTTTTGAACGTTTATTAAAAAATTTATAATATAATAAATAAATTATAGAAATGTGGTTTATTTAATTTTCTTCAGTATTAATAATAAATGTAGGAGATTTCTGAAGTTTTCAACTGGTACCTATGGAATTTGTGATTTTTGTTTTTTGAGGGGCTATCTTAAGTAGGGCTTTTTAGATTATAGGTATGCTTCTATACTTGAACTAGATTATTCTCAYGGAAACTATTTAACATTTTTTAGTTTATTAATTAAAAAATAATAATAATTATATCTAAGCGTAGTTTTTTGTAGTACAAATTTGATTTAAATTTTAACATATTATCCTTCATAAAGTCGTTAAAATATGTTGGACAGAAAAAAAACAAATGGAAAAAAAACCATAATTTTATATTTTTCCTTTGATATAATTATCATATTTCATTAGACATAAGTTAAATACAGATTAAATACAGGAATAAAATAATAATAAAAAATATAAGTTATTGATAGCTTATGGTATAAAAGATGGTAGTTAGAAAGTCTTTAATATCACGTATACCATTATATCATCTTCTCATAATTTTTAAGATTAAATTTGTTTTTTTTATTGTTTCTGTTGTGCTACTCCTAATTGGATTTGGCTTAGCTATGTTTCATTAGCTGCTATTTCTAACCTTATTTTATCTATAATAGTCCAAATTGTTGGATGTATTTATTTTACTAATCTACTAAACCTATAACACTTATACACATACTCTAGCCATACATAGGTATAACAATATAAGATGTTGATTAAATGATGTTAACTACATTTTTCCAACACAAAAATCTTTCACCTAATACATAGTATAATAAAGTTAGGCTAGTTTTAAATTGTTAAACTATTCAAAATTTACGAAGAAATCCCTTTCATTAATGTACTACTGCTAGCGACCATCATATTTCTGATGCCATTTTTGAAACCTAATATATAAAACGCCATTATTTACTGAAGAAAATTAAATAAACCTCATTTCTATAAGTTGCGTCTTTTTTAAAATAGGCTTTCAAAACTGCACAGCTTGTTTTGCATTACTCTGTAATATATACTTTACACATTGATGAAAGACCACTTCCAATGAAGTGACTCCAGGTCTTAAACTAGATTCTTAAATTAAGTCACAAGGTTTCAGATGCATATTAATACACAGTGAAGTGGGGTTCTGAAATTAGAACTATATCAATTTTTTCATTATTCATTAGATGTTATAGTTTTTGTTTTTGCTATTTAAGCCCATTTGCGTTTGATGTTATAATTCAAAGTGTCCGATTCATTTCTTTTTCTTTAATGCTTTGATTCTTGGCTGGTTATCTTTAAGCCTATCCTATTGTTTTGTGAATGCTGCCATCATGTTTGATAGAGACTTAAGTATATTTTTTATTGTTTTGTATGGATTTGATACATTAGGACTTTTTTATTTTTMATTTGAAGWACTAACCATCTGTGCAAAAGAAATATCTTAAGTGGCTGATTTTGCAGCATTATGTTGTGTTCTTTGATTTGCTTTGATTTTTTGGATGAGCTTTTTCTACTGCATTTGTATGAGCAATGTATTATCCTTTCTAATGTGTGGTGTGCCCTTCACCACTTTTTACACACTGATATTTAAAACCAGTTTTGAATGTAATAAATTTTAAATATTTGCTGGACCGCCATTTCTAATCAAAGTTGGTTATGATAATAGTTTGTATTTTTGTGAATAATTAATAAAGATTTATGAATTTATGAAAGACAAAAAATGTATTGGGTAAGTATCTAACTATTGTCTCAACTCAGGACAGTTAATATTTCTGTCATTACAAATTAAGATAGCCATTTAAATCACAATACCTATAATCTACTAATCTGCTACCTATTTTGTAAATAAAATATATTTATATTATACATACTGAATTTTATCAAATATATTATAAATTAATAAGACCTTTTTATTTTAGTTATATTTACTTTAAACAAATAAGAAATKTATTTGATATGTGTATTAACTATAAATACAATTTTTTATTGTACTATATTATAAAAATATAACATATTTAAAATATTTGATCCGATCCTTTTTTACAATTTATTTTTTTAATTGAATTTTAAGAAATATATTGGGTACACACTACACATTTTTACAGCCATAAATTAACAACTTTAATATTGCACTTAATGGTTAAATACCTATACTTAAAATAACCTGCCACAATAATAATTATTGTTTATTACTAAATTGTAATTACCTTAATTCAACATTTGAATTTAGTACTACATTAATTTCAAATGGCAGGTATATTATAATTTTGGCATATTGTCAAAGTATGAGTAATTTTAATTTCCGCTCTTGTTGATAGTTTAATGTAATAATATAGTTTATTATAATTATCCCTATAATTATTATAATCATTATTAAGTACCGAACCATAAACTTACTAAATTATGTTTTGAAAATTGTCTTATTCATTTGTATAATTATTTTCATGTTAAAATACAATGAAGAATTACATTAAATTCTAAATCATCAAATTGGAGAAACTTGAGACTTAAATGTGTTTCTTAATGACATAAGACTGTAGTTGTTTAATATGTTCAAAGTGTGACATGAATTATGGGTATTTGTTTAGTATGTGACCTACCGTATAGGGTATTCGTTTTGTATGCGTGACCAACCGGCTACCGGACTGATAATTAATTTAAAAACAGTCAAATTAATTGTATAATTAGGTTATTTTATTATTACAGATTACGGATTATATTCAATATCAGTCAACAAAATATCAGTATAAAAAAAAATGTTTATAAAAATTCTAATACTGTTTTTCAGAAGAAATAATCGTATACAATTCGATTGCCAACATTTTAAAGTTTTAAAGACGCGATAACAGAAGAACATGTACGGGTCGTACTGACAATATTGTCGATAATGTTAGAATGACAATATATCTATTGGTAAAAACCAGTAAATATATAATATAATATAATTATAAAGATAAGAAAACATAGCTTGTCCATACCTATGATATAGATATAAATCGTCTTGGTCATAGGTCACACACTAAACCTGGTAATACAAGTAGGTCTCATACTAAATTCGATTTTCGATCGGTAGGTCACATAATAAACGAATACCGCATTATGAATGGCTCTGTAATTACAGTTCACATAGGAAAATCCCAAATAGTAAGAAAARMTATAAGGCATTTATTCATGTTAAAGTAGTGACTAAGTGTTTAAAGAGAAATCATTAATTCATGAAAAGGAATCCTCCCCTAAATATCATTATAAAAATTAACCTTTTCCATAAGCATAATTGTGGCAGTGCACTTAAATGTTTATTCATAGATCTTTAGACGATAACTATATTGTGGCAGTATCTTGTTGATGGATCATCCCCTAGTCAAGCTATAAAACAAAACTTATTTACAACCAAAATTGTACTTTATTTTCATATTATTTTATTTTAAAATTGTACATTAAATAATTAAATCCTAGATGCTGGACACATTATAGAATGTGTCATTCATATTTGAAAAAAAAATTGGTTTATTAAAAGATTCATTWGATACACTTGACGAAAAAATCTCTAAATATTTGTAACAATGTATTATATTTTATTTACAAAGATAAATTAATATTCAACATTATGTCTATACTAATGTAGTACTGTAGGCACTATTCAACAACACTATTCTTGTTTTTGCATATATTGATGTATTATTTGATGATTTATGTTAATTAATTTTTATTTTTTATCACCTATTGGTCCAATGTCTAATATTTTGTTAGCATTACTATTAAAATTGATAAATCCAGACYTTGGACAGTATTTGTTGTAACTCTTTTAAATGAAAGGGCCAAAAAGTTACATAGCAGCTCTGGAATTATTTTTACCAATTCAAGTTCGAGTTGTGATATGACATTGGCCTCTGTTAACAGTTATTTCAACTGTTACCAAAGGTAATGCGGTTCCATTTTTTTTTTTTTTTTAGATACATATATAACAAACTAGTAAGGCATGAAAAAGGTTTCAAAATGCTGACTGAACATTTTTGTTTATGCTTTAAAGCAGGCGCGGACTGGCCCAGGGTGCTATACACCAAGTAGCACCCAGGCCCTCACTTCGTATTTATGATCTGATTACCATTGTCGGTCCCATTTTATTTTAACTCTTATTTTAATATAGAATACATTAAATATAGAAAGATAAATTATAATAGAAATTTACAATATTGTTATCATATTTACATTACATCGTATCACTTGTGTCTATACGTAATTAATACAAATATAGATTAAACAACTAATGTTTAAAATACAAATAATATGCTATTCTAACCTAATTTAAGTAGGTTAGAAAAAAAATATACAGGCCCGTAATTAATTTTGCACTCCGCGTCAAAAACGACCAGTCTGCTCCTGCTTTGAAGGATCAGAGGTAAAATGAATACATTGTTGTATAAGATTTTTATAATTCATTTATATGTTAATGAATTAAAAAAAATAAAAATATTTTTATTTTATTTAAGAACAAAATAACTTAATTTCAAAATTTGATTGGATGGCCTTTTAATTTTAATAGAATAAATCTATTGTTAGTTTAAGGATTTCAAAAGTGTTATTAAAATTGAAGTATTCTTATGCACAGTTTACAAATAAATTATACCTTTATTTAAATCTTGGTCTTTCTGTTAAATACAATTATTAAATTATGTCATTAGTCTACAATATTCAATATATTATACGGGTTATTTTTCAAACACTCCAATTGAGTATCATTTAAAACCTTACATTTAATTCCAGTGTAATAAATAAAATAGAATTATTTTCGACATTAGTAATTAATATGCTTTATAATTTATGTTGTTTAGCCTAATATGTAGTTCAAAATTTTAAATGCTTATAAATTAACACATTTACTATTTTAGGACCTTTATTGTTTTATGTATGTTTCTTAAAATTAGAATCTTTATAACGGTATAATATATTATAATATTATATTGTATTAACGTCCAAAAATTATTACGACTCTTAAATAATATTGTACTTATATATAATAATATATTAAATCTATTTCATATTATATATTATATTACTTATAAGTTGGAAGGAAAAATAACTGTAATATAGCTTATTATTAATTAATTAATTGTAGTCTTAATATTTTAATATAATTTAATATGTATTATATAAATGTATATTATGTATATCAGTACATCATAGTACATTTTAGGTAATATGATATTTAAATAGTAATCTTCATTTGTAATGCCAGAAATATTAACTGCCCAGCATTAAAACAATAGTTAGGTATCTATTATTATTATTATTATTATTAATATTATTGATATATATTTTATCTCATAAATGTCTAAATTCTTATATTATGTACTCATTTTTTACTTACAAAAATACAAACTTATATCATAACCAACTTTGATAAGAAATAACTTTCCAGCAAACTATTTAAACTAAGTTAATTAAACTAAATAAAAGATTGATAATTCAAATTGGACCAAGCAAAGCGATTCTGAGTATGCCCATATTTGCAAAATATGCTGCCAGCTAGTATTTTATTTTCAGTTGACATTAGTCATGGTTTTCATTTGTTGTTTATATCTATCAGCTTATTCCAGTTTTAAATCAATCATTAATATTTTTAAATCATGTTCACCACTTACCGTATACTTTATTGACTGGTTTGTGGATTTTTAAAAAAATTCTCCCTACTTTTTTCGTCACTAATTGTTTTTATTAGGTCCGAAATCTTATTGTTGTTTTGTATTTGTGTCTGGTTTTGGTGTTGATTTTTACCAATATTTAAATTTTCATACATTGTGCAATTCGGTCAGTTAGAGTGTGACCCACTGAAAATGTGTTTGTTTATTAAAACTTACCATCTGAGTGACAGACTGTGTCTTACATTGTACGAGCTAATGAAATTGCAACCAAGAGTTGCTTGTTTGGTATGCTAAACACAACTGATAACATAAACAAATTACCATTATTAGTATTGGAAAATCTTGAAAACCATACTGTATAATTTGGTATTATACACAAAATATTAGGCTCTAAAATATTTGAAAAAACTTTAATTATTCTAACATTTTTCTGTAGTAAAAAATCTTCATTTGTATTTTTCTAATTAATATATTTTTMTATGTTATGTTTTATTGAAAATAGTGTGCACTTAAATGTTTTTAAGTATAGCTAATTATTTGATAGATTCTCTATATTAATTTAAAGTAAATATCTATTCTTAAGGTTCAAAAATCACCTGGACAATATTTAGTTACCATGGATGGATGGACTGGAGATGAACTCATGCTTATTTTAGACTTTGCTGAGCAATATTCTTTTGGATGTTGGGATGAGTTACCAAAAAACATAAGAATTCGAACTCCATCAGGTTAAAAATAACATTTTTTTTTTACTTAAAATTGTTATTCATGTAACTGTTTTATTTATATAGAAATCAAATTTCAATTTGCTAAATATTTTTTGGACGGAACAATTGGAAGGCTAACATGGGGTACAATAAGAAAACCACAATTAGAAGATCGCACAGTCCATTTCAAAATAAATGAAAGTGTTACTAATTTATCTGGGTTATCTAAAGCTCAGTATGCAGAGATTGGATATAATCCTATAAGAGATGAATTTGAGTTGGTATGTGCATACATAACAAATAATGCTTAGTATAACTTTTATATTTTAACACATTGAATTTATACAGGAAAATGATTTTGATAATAATGCAGAGGCAGTTTTAAGTATTACATCAGAATGGAATGATTTTGGAGATGGTAAATACTAAATAAATATTAAGTACATCATTATAGCCATACTTATATTTACTTTTTAATAAGAAATCAAACTTCTGTGAAACTTATATTTATTGTTAAAATATTAATATTACAGATTATAATCTCGCGTGTATCGATATGTATTGTGCACGGTTATATGAACGTGAATATGCCAAAAAAGTTGTTCATGATTATCAATTGATGGATAAATATTTTTCCTCTAAAGATAAACCCAAGCGTAGATTAACACCAGAAGAAAGGTACTACATTAGTTTCATGGTTAATGAACTTATCTTACAAATTTTTTAATTTATAGAAGTATTATAAGCATTGAAAATCAAATAAAAAAATTCAGCCGATATTTAACTGAAAGTGAATTGTGGTCATTAAATATACGTCTGCAACAAGAATATCTGCTAAAAAAACGGCGTGAAGAACTTATCTATTACAGAAAAAATGGAATTACAAAAATATACGACATTGTAAAATTTAATCTTTTGCATTATAGCATGGTTGTTGATGGTACCTATATACTTAATCATTTCCTTTATTAATTAATACATACTTACATTTTTTATACTTAAAACTTACAGAACAATCTGAACAATCATCTTCTGATGTTCTGACACCAGCACCCATCAAACGCGGTGAAAAGAAAAGGGTAACATATTTTATATTTTATTTAAAAAATAATATTTATATTTCGTCAATTAATAATAAAAGGAACTCTATTTTATGTGTTAGTGATTTGCTTTTAACATTTTGGTTATATGATAATTTTTTGACCAGAACTACAATTGTATTGATACAAGTTTATAGCCCTAGTGACTTRGATTTTATTGCACTAAAAAATAATAACACATTGCTCTTTAAAATTAAAAATACATTTTTGGAATAATTAATTTTTTAAATTAATCGGATTGTTAGAAAATCATGAAAAAATCATGTGATTGCTAAAGAATTTGGTTCTTTATCTACAATTTAAACCATATAAAAGATTTTTTATTTACAAAGCACTTATTTTAACTATATATATATATATATATATATACATATATGAAACACATAAAATATTAACAAATAAAAATTAACCAACAGCACTTTTACTTCAGTTAACCAATTTTCATGGTACCTAAGTCGGACTGATATATTAACACAAACAAAAAAATAATAATCGTAAGTAGTGGTAGCCAGTGGCATGGCGAACTTCATTAAGTTATGAGGCACAGTTGTTATATTGTCAGACCAACCACCCACTCCACCCATCACAAAAAACATTAAACATTTTTTTTAAGATAAAATATATTTATTCATTTAAATAATAATGCTTTTTTAACACATCAGATGATCTTTGAGGACACCCACCACCCCTCAAACTGAGGCACATGCCTCAAATATAGTCCTTCGTCATGCCACTGGTGGTAGCTCATCAGGTTCACATAAGACTCAATAATTTTATAAAATACATATTATAAAAACTAGTACAAGTAAATACATTTTGTATTGGTAGATAAACACCCAAAATAATGCACTTGAGCTCTTTAAATTCAAATTATTTATTATTAATTGACTATTTTATTCTTTCTTTATAAATAATGTTGTATAGTATAGTATTATTTTATGCAGTTAATGTTCAATATGGTGGCACATTATTGTTTTAATAATTGACATGACAACACATCACAATAAAATAGGTCCGATGCTCCAAATAACATGGTTTACTTGCAAACATATCGATATATGTAGCTAGTATTTGTACGGCTATTGGAAGCATAACAAATTTGTGTTCTACAAATTACTTAATCATTAATAGACATACTTTAAATATAAAAAAACATTTTTTGTTTGTAATTATACATTTTTATATTAGAGCTATGTGCATAACCGCTATAATTTTCTATTGATCTTTAATATTTTATTTTTTGGGTAGTTCAATTGTTCACAGTTCTCCTGTGCCCCATAGCACAAGTATTTTTTTAAATGTTTTTATATATTAAATTAAACACTGGTTTTGTTTGTTTTTTTTTAGAAAAAAAGGAAACGACCAAAATTATTTCATAAGAAAAATCATGTTTATCATCGTACACCTCAATATATCGCTGCTCTCAATAGAGTATTGTCTCAAAATAATGAAACTGAAGATAATTCTGATTAATATTAAGGTTATAAGTTACCTACTAGTAATAATAATAATATTATGTGAATAAAATTGAAAAAACATGTTTATAAAATTGTGTTCAATAATTATTAATTATTTAATCAATATGACTGATAAAACTTGTAAAAATTCAAGTATGATCAAATTCTGATTGTACATTGAAAATTTAAAGTATATTGTATATAAGTAAATACAAAAAAAGATGATTTTAACTTATTGCATATAAAAAAAATAATATATTTGTTGAATTTTAGTAAATGACAGTACTATCTAATCTGAAATTTAATTATATTTTTTAATTTGGTTTTATTTATTAATGATTATACTATACAGAATTATTATTATTTATTTTTTATT